GGTCGGCAAACTCATCAGTCCACAGAGCCAAGTATCAACAGCACAACGATTGGAATTTCTTGCCAATTTTTTAAAAATGTAAACTTGTTCTAACGCCACTCCTTCAAAATAGACTCGCCCAAGCCATGGTATTTTTTGGAAGAGCCACCCCCAAGGGGCCAAAGAGCCGCATGTGGCTCGTGAGCTGCAGTTTGCCGACCATAGGCCTGGCTGGTCTTGCTCAGGAGGCTGCGCACCTGCAGTGGGCTCTGACATGTGATCACCAACGGGTGGTAGTGATGAGTGGCCACGACTCCACAGCCTTCAGACCACACACTCCACAGCCTTCAGACCACGCTGCTGGCCACGACTCCACAGCCTTCAGACCACGCTGCTGGCCACGACTCCACAGCCTTCAGACCACGCTGCTGGCCATGAACAAAAATAAAAATAAAGTAAAAACAAAGGCTGATCCCAGAACGCTTTCCAGAAGCTGCTGCTTCTGCCAGCGTTTCGGGCGTGCCACCTGCAGATCCCTTCTCCCTAACGGGCTCCGGGCACGAGAGCCAGTCCCCCGTGTGACTCAGCCTGCAGCTCAGCCGAGGACGAGCAGCTCAGGCCCTCCCTGTGGTCCGAGCACGGAGAGAGGAATGCAAACAAAAGCCCGCGGCGTCAGAGGTAGCGATCCTGTCCTTACACCGAAGGACAAACACCGCGGCCGCCTTACGTAACTGTTTACCGGCGCGGGGCCTGCGCAGGCAGGGGGCAGCGTGCGCTGTGGGGGCGTTGCGGGCTGTGGACAAGGCCTCCCCCCCAACCACGGGTCCCTGAATGTGCAATGCAAGGCTTCGCTCCTGAGACACTCCAGATGTCGTCAGGAAGGACAGACGCTGTGGCTCTGGGCTTCCTGGGAGAAGCCACCAGAACGGGACACGGTGTGGGACCCAGAGGGACACGCTGCCTCCCGTGCTGGCCGCACACACGGCCCCCGGGAGGGATGTGGGTGTTAAGCACATGCAGTGCACAGCGGCCCCGTCCACAGCGGCCCGATGGCTGACCTTCCACCTCGGAGCTCGAGACCGCGTGTCCACGGCAGCTCGCCGCCTCCCACGGCCTGGGCCACAGCCCCAGCCCCGCCCGGCCCCTCTCCTGCTCCCGGCGGCGGCGGCTCAGGGAATGTCCTGCACATCTGAGTGGACGTGTCTACCAAACGCGCCGGAAGAACGATGGGCTTCATGGCTCCGACAGAGAAAACGTCCATCAAACTGGTATCGGACCGGAGGGGGACGCCCGGGTCCTGGCCTGAATCCTGGCCGACCTGCCCGCTCCAGGGGCCAGAGGCAGACCCTCCTCACCCCCTGGGCAAAGAGCCAGCGGGGGCGCTGTTCTGAGAAAGGGCAGCCTCTTCGGGGGAAAGCGAGAAAGGGCCCGGCCTCCGGGAGCAAGGCCCACCCGCTCTCCCATGGGCTCATCATCCTTCAAGAACAAACCAGCCCTAACCGGCGTGGCTCAGTGGGTAGAGTGTCGGCCTGCAGACTCAAGGGTCCTGGGTTCGATTCCGGTCAAGGGCATGTACCTTGGTTGCGGGCACATCCCCAGTAGGAGGAGTGCAGGAGGAAGCTGATGGATGTTTTTCTCTCATCGAGGTTTCTCACTCTCTCTCCCTCTCCCTTCCTCTAAAAAAATCAATAGAATATGTTAAAAAAAAAAAAAAAAAAAAGAAAAGAATAAACCGGTCAACACGCACTGAGACCAAAGCCGCTTCTCACATAACGTCCAACGTCCCTAAAGGGCAGAGGAAAACGAAATCAGAAGCGTCTGCAGTGATCTGAGAGGCCCACCCATTTTTCTCGCATCGACGTGGAAACAGGGCACGGGCAGCCACATTCTAGAATAGGGGTGTCGAACTCAATCAGAGAAGGGGCCAAAATCTAAAATCCAGCCTAAATCGCGGGCCGAATGGTTTACTGAACAGTCATAAACTGTCATTGTGATGGAAACGCAGCGGAGTGCAGTGATGACAGCGCGGTGCGGGCCACATTGCAAGGCCTGGCGGGACGGATTTGGCCCGCGGGCCTTGTGTTTGACACATGTGTTCTAGAACCTTAAACGCTCCTCAGAGCCGGCTCCCGTGAGCAAAACCCAGCTCCAAGGAGCCATGTCCACCGCGCTGGGTCTCCGCTCACCGGAGCCGCGAACACGGCTCTCTCGGCGCCACGGGGCACACACGAAGGCTGCGTGGTTCCCGGGCGGGGCCTGCGACCCCCTGGGTGTCCCCGGCCCTATGACCCCACGGCCCACTCCAGGGCCTGGGTCACCACCCGCACTCCTCCAGGCAAGGTGGGCGGGCGGCTGCCCCCTCCCTGACCCCAGACCCTCTCTGCGGCCCCGAGCTGAGATCCACGCATAAACAAGAGCTCCGTGTTTCCTTTCTGAACTGGGCGGGCCCCGTGCTCCCTGACGCGGCCTCTGCAGGCATCTCGGAGCTCGTTCAGGAACAAAAGCGCGATCCCTGGGCCCTGCCTCGGGAAGGGGGTGCGATGGAGTCGGTGGAGTGAGGCTGTGACACGGCATGGGCTCAGACACGAAACATGGGAAGCCAGAAATACACGAAGACCGTCCAAAGTCAGGAATGTGCTGGGAGGCGGGGCCGGCCCGGCCCGGCTGCCAGTTCCTGCCTTTCTCAGAATACCGCCAGCTCCACCGCGCCGTTCTGCAGGAGGGCGCCTACTCCGCGCGTCTCCCAGGCCGACCTCACAGCCCGCCTGCTGGAGGGGTGCTGAGCGAGGCCCACGCCGCTGCTGACCGGCTCAGTTGGCCGACAGTAACTGTGAGCGGGAGTCTAGACCAGGGCCCGGGGCCCGCGAGTCCTCACCAGGGACCACCCTGAGGAGCCCTGTCCCTCCCTGTCCCATCCCCTGGCCTCCGACGCCCTCCTAAGACCAGAGCTCCCGGAGGAGAGGCAGGGGCGGCAGGTGACGGGAGCCTCAGCGGGTTCCCGCTGCAGGGAAAGCAGCCACTTCTCCGGCCCTGTCTCCCCATCGGCCTGGGGCACCCACTTCCTGGCCTGTCCGGGGGTTAGAGGGTTGGAGGGGACGGCGATTCCATCGCTTAGAGCCAGGCCGGTCTGTCTGAGATAAGGACGTTTTGTGAACAAAACTGACGGGACTTGTCCTCACCACTCTGTCAGGGTCACCTGTTGTGTTTCTCACACGTCGCTCCTGTTTCTGGGACTCTGATGCCGGCTCGCCTGCTCCCACTGCTGTTTTTTTTGTGTCTCTCCGCCCCCCCCACCCTGCCCCGAGCATCCTGTTCTAAGCGAACACAAAACCAACAGGCAAATTAAGTGGTATTTATGTTTTTCCCCCAAAACAAATCTCCGCACTCCTCGTCCTGCTGGAAGGGCAGCAGGGAGGAGCGGGCGTCTGTGGAGAAGAGCAGTGCATGGAGGTGCCCGAGAGTCTGACTGCACTCAGGACAGGGTCCCGGCCACAGAACGGAGACATGCCCGACTGCGGGGGGCCCTGTGCAGGGGGTTGGGGAGCGGGAAGGACCAGGCCCGGGGGTGGGGGGGCGGGCAGCAGGGAGGAGGCAGCCCTCCGAGGGCAGAGGAGCCCGCTGGTATGGAAACCACCCCCAGCTCCCGTTCCCACGTTTTGCAAGCGGCTCCACACTCCAGATGTTCCCCCAGAGCCCAGCCGTGCCAGCTGATCGTTCCGGACTCGGTACCGATCCCTGTCCTCTGTGCCAGCCCCGCCGGCCCATGCCCCCCTCCTGGCCATGAGCAGAGCCACCTGAGGAGCTGGGTGTCCCCCCGCAGCCCGCGCACCCCGGATGCAGGAAACAGGCCGTCTGGGGATTTGGGGCTGGCGGGGGGGGGGAAAGGCAGGCTTGGGGGTTTACTGGCTTCGCTTTAAAACCCCCAGGGAGTCTGCGGCAACCCGGCCGGAGCCCGACACCCGCACCCCTCCCCTCCCTCCCGGCCGGTGACCTCAGCAGCAAGCCGGGACCTGAGCCTGGAAGCTGAGATGTCGAAACCGGTCAGACCTTCCGGCCTCACGTGGAGGGGTGCCGGAGGGTGCCGCCAGGAGGGTGCCGGGGAGGGGTGCCGGGGAGGGGTGCCTGGGCCGGGTCGGACCCTCAGGTTCTGTTCACCCTGGACGCGGGGCCCACCACGCCGCCCGCACCGCCCCCGCAATTGGGTCAAACATTAACGCGCTGCTTTGCTTGGCTCTGGGTCAAAATCTGCCGAAAGCGAAAAGAAACAGGCCCGAGAGAAGCTCCGGGATCCCAGGAGGAAAGTTTGCAGAGAAAAAAAAAAAAAATAATAATAATAATAATAAGGCGGGGACCGGTCCCAGGAACTCGGGGTCCGCCTGGCCGGTCGCACCCATCCCGCCGGCTCCACCGCGAACCCGGAGCCGCGAGCGGGGCCGCAGGTGGGGGCAGCCGGGGTGGGGGGGCCCGGAAGCCAGAGGAGATCCGGGGGGACACGGGAGGAGATCGCGGGGTCCGCGCCCCCGCTGCGGGCGGAGTGCACGGCCGACCCCCGGCGGCCCAGGAGCCAGCGCCCCGCCCGCGCTCGGCCTCCGGTCCGGCCGCAGCGGCGCCCCTGGGCCGGGCCCGCGACCCGGTTCCCGGACGCGGAGCGGGGAGGCCCGGGGTCCCCGAGGGAGGTGCCCTCCGCCGGGACCGGACCGGGCGCACGTGCCGGGACGCGCCCCCCGCGCAGGCAGGACAGTGAGGAAGTTGCGAGCGCTCCGGGCGTCCGATCCCTGCACCCTGCACCCCGGGCCCCGCGCCCCGGTCCGGTCCCTGCACCCGGGTCCCCGCGCCCCGGTCCCCGCGCCCCGGTCCCCGCGCCCCTGTCCCTGCACCCGATCCCCGGCGCGGACCCGCAGCGGCACGTCCCCTGGTGAGTCCCGGCGGGTCCCGGTGGGTCCCGGTGGGACCCGGTCGGTCCCGGTCGGTGGGTCCCGGTCGGTGGGTCCCGGTCGGTCCCGCGGGCGGGCACGCCTTACCTCTCTTCTCCTCCAGCGCCGGGAGCGCCGGCCACTGCGCCGCCAGCAGCACCAGGAGCGCGGCGCCCGCCGCCCGGGAGGGGCGCATCGCCCCGCAGCCCGGGGTCCGGGGTCCGGGATCCCGGGAGCGGCGGCAGCGGCTGCGCTTCGGGGCGGCGAGGCGGGGACTCCGGGGTCCGGGTCCGGCGGGGGCTCCGGGGTCCGGGTCCGGCGGGGGCTCCGGGTCCGGGGGAGGCGGCCGGGCTGCTGGGATCGCCGGCTCGGTCCGCCCTGGCCGGGTGTGCGCTCCGCTGAGCGGGGCGGAGGCTGCCGGCCGCCCGGACGTCTCCGCGGGGCGGGGGCGGGGGCGGGGGCCGGGCCGCGAGGGGAGGGACCAGCAGGGGGAGGGACCGGCCTGGCGGCGGGGAGGAGGCACCGGCGGAGCGGGCGGAGGCGGAGGGGAGGCGGCCCGGGCCGTGCGCTCTGAGGAGGGTGGCGGGAGCGGGTGCGGGAGCCCGGGCGCCCGGTCAGCCTCCGAGGGGCGCTCCCCGCCGGGGCCGGGCTCGGCCTGAGAACCAGGAGACCCAGTGCGTCCCGCGAACGGGAGCCAGGCCGCCACCGCCCCTCCACCTGCAGAGCAGAGGGCACAGCCCCTCGCCCTGCCCAGCCAGCGCCCCCCGGGCCATGGCACGGACGGCGGCAGCCCGTGTCTGCCCCCCCCCGGGGACAGAGCTGGACTGCCCGGCTGCCAGGCGGCCTAGTGGTAGCTTTCCAGCCCCAAGGGCCCTTCGCGGCCGCCAAGCACCCTCCACAGACTCTGAGGAGGGACCGTGCCCTGGCCCCGGCTGGCCGGCAGGTGTTACTGGATGAAGGCGGGAGCCCGGCCAGCCCCGGCGCTGGAGAGCAGACGCCTGTGGTCAGTCATTGTGCAAAAGCCGAGCGTGAGAATGCAGCTGGACACCAGCCCGAGTGGCTGCTTCTCCGGGGGAGCTGGGTGCCCCTCCTATGCCCACCTGGGCAGATCCCCGAGGACGGGCGGGAGGAGAGGAAGGTCCTGGCTGGCCAAGGTGGGCTAAGCCATGTCTGCTCCATGCTCCTTCCCACGGGACAGGTGTCCTTGCGCCCATCCTCCACCCAGGTCCCCGGCCGCCCCCACCAAAGCCCACACGGCAGCTGGCCAGTCCGGTCTCCCCTGAGAGCCAAGTGAGCGCAGCTCCAGGCCGCCCCTCCTGCGTGGGGGGCGGGGAGGGGAGAGAGGGACACCTGTCCTCCCGCCCGCACGGCCGGCCCTGCCCTCTGAGCGGAGAGTCCAGTCTGCGTGTCTGTTCCGGTGTTTGAGCTACGGGACCCGCCGAGCCTCTGGGCCCCGGCCGGGCAGGGAGGCTGTGCGGCTCCAGCGTGGTCCCCGCCGCAGGCTCCAGAGGAGGTCACACGCTACATGTCACACGCGACAAACCCAGAGCATCGTGCGGAGAAACACGGCTGTGCACGCCGCAGAGGAGGGAAGGGCTACTGGGAACACACGTGGGACGCAGCCGGAAGCCGGGAGGCGTCTGACAGCCCAGTCCTGAGGGCACCTCCACCGGCCCCCTAGCTGGCTCCGGAGCAGCGGCTCTCCACCTTCCTGATGCCTGAACCTTCAACACAGCTCCTCATGGCGCAGTGACCCCCACCCGCAACATTATTTTCGTTGCTTCTTCATCGCTGTCGTTTTGCTGCTGTTACAGATAGTCATGTAAATATGTGTGTTTTCCGGTGGTCTTACGTGAGCCACAGGTTGAGAACCGCTGCTGTAGATAGAGCCTATGACATGGGAAAGCACAGATATTTGCATTATGAGGAGCTGTATTAAAGGGTCGCAGCCTCAGGAAGGCGGAGAACCGCTGCCCTGGAGCCTTCAGCCCGGGAAGTGTGGTGGGTGGCGGCACAAACCACGTGTTAAAGCACCGATCGGTCGAAGCTACAACTAACGGTTAGGATTGCATGGGGCCCGGCCGGCGTGGCTCAGCGGCTGAGCATAGGCCCGGGAACCAGGAGGTCATGGTTCGATTCCCAGTCAGGGCACAGGCTCTGGTTGCGGGCTCCTTCCCCAGCAGGGGCGTGCAGGAGGCAGCCGATCCGTGATTCTCTCTCATCACGGATGTTTCAACCTCTCTCTCCCTCTCCCTCTTCCTCTCTCTGAAAAATCAATAAAGACAGTAAAGACAAAAAGAGGGCGTGGGGGCGTCGGCCAGGAGCCCCGGGGGAGACGGTGGTGCAGTTCTCCCAGCCACCGCCACGCAGCAGCCTTCACCGTGCCGTTGGCCAGCCCTCGTCCCACAGGCTCTGACACCTCCAGAAGCAGGGAGTGCTGGGGCACCCCTGCACGGGGCCCACCCTGGGATGGGGGAAGGGGAGCCCCAAGCCCCCCGGACACTGGTGTGAAGTGTGGTCCCTCCCTGGACTGGGACATGGGAGTGGCCGTCAGGGTGACGGTGCCCGTTGGCGGCAGGTACGCGGCGTGCCCTGATGGCGCGTCCGGGAAACAGTGGAGCTTGTGACGTACGGAACCGCAGGAGCGGGCCTCCACATATTTCAGTTCCGCCCCCACCAGGGGCCTCGGACCACCTGTTCTCTCTGGCCTTGGAGGTCACAGCGGGGAAGGACAAGGAAAAACATCAGAGCTGGCGTTTCAGAAATTAAACACAGGTCCTGGGTAAATGGGGAGCCTTCTCCACGTGGTTGGTGCTGCCCCCGAGGGGGCCGGGCTCCCCATCCTGGGCGAAGGGTGCCTGCAGGGGCATCTGGGACCAGGGGCGGCGGGGTCAGGGGTGGGACGAGGCCCCTTCCAACCCTACATTCCGGAGGAACACGCGTTTCTAAAACCGGCTCCCCTTGGATGGACACGCACCAACGGCTCCGCTGAAGATGTCTGAGGCGCAGGGCTGTGCTGACTGCTCCCAGCAGGCAGTCGGTGAGGGAGCTGGGCCGGGGCTGCAGGAGACTGTCTGTGCTCTCAGACCTCCGTGTCAGTATGGGCAGCAGCACCGGCTTCTGTAAGGGCAGGGCCGTGGCTCCGGGCCCTTGCAGAGGGTCCTGGCCCTCCTGCGGGGCCTCCTGGGTCCCCTCGGCCAGGGCACTCCCCCCTGAGCCTGGTTATCCGAGGACCCTGTGTCGGCAGAGCCCGGAGGGGGCAGTGTCTGTTTCGGGGGACCGCGTGCTGTGGCCCAGCTGCTGACCAGCCACCTGTCGTCAGCACCTCGTTAGTGCTGTGTGTCCTGGGGATTCTCGGTCAGGGTCAGGGCGTGCTAAGAAGCAGAGCCATTTGAGTGCTGGTTTCTGGCTCTGCCTTTTGCCCATTGCTTTGCGTGGGGTCTTGTAGGAAGTTTCTGGACGCTGCACAGGGCTTCGCCAGGCTGAAGGTTACAGCTGAGATGAAGCCTGGCCGGCGTGGCTCAGCGGTTGAGCATCACGTTATGAACCAGGAGGTCATGGTTTGATTCCCGGTCAGGGCACACGTCTGGGTTGCAGGCTCGATCCCCAGTGTGGGGCGTGCAGGAGACAGCCCGTCTACGGTTCCCTCTTACCATGGATGTTTCTCTCTCCCTCCCTGACATCAATAAAACACATTAAAACACAACAAAAAGAAGGGGTGAACCTGGCCGGGGTGTCACTGCCTGCCTCAGGGATCGTCCCAAAGGAAGTGTGAGGCCCTGGCGGCAGCTGCTGGCTGGCAGAGCAACTCAGGGTCCAGGTGTGGGTTGGAGGCCCCTTCAGTATTTATTTTCATTGGGTTTTTGGCCACATTTAACCAATCAGAGATTTCCATATTTGAAATGTGGACTCTTTCTCTTGGAAAACATGATGACCTGCTGGCCAGCGGGTCTGCTTTCGTGGGGGAGGGGTGATAACTGTCCCCTTTGGAGAGACTGACGCTGGCAGCTCACTCAACCCGCCAAACCTGCTCCTCCAGTTCAGGCCGAGCCCGGCATTTCAGTCTGCGCCCCGCCCTTCCTGGTTCAGCCGCGCTAGGCCTCTTTACAACTCCTTCCCTGCTGCCCTATGTCCCTTCCCTGGCCAGCTCCTCTGTCTCCGTGTGCGTGCGTGCGTGTGTGTGTGTGTGTCTGTGTGTGACTGTGTGTGTCTGTGTGTATGTGTCTCTATGTGTCTGTGACAGTGTGTGTGATTGTGTGTGCCTGTGTGTGTCTGTGTGTGTACGTGTGTCTGTGCACGAGCACAGGCGTATCTGTATTTGTTGATTCTTTTTTGTCCCGAGGTCAGCTCGTAATGCTTTACATACCACACTGGACCTCACTTTAAATTTCCATAATTCAAATATGGAACAATATAAAAATCACAGCTCATACTTGTGCCGCATCGTCGTCGTTGACTGTGTAATTATGAATATATGCACACACAGAAATCCGAGCGGGAGCGGGAGTGGGGGCTGGCTGGACTGAGGCTCCTCCTTTTTCTTGCAGGTGAGCACGCTTTGCCTGCGTAATGGTCCATGTGAACTGTAACGTGACAGACGTGAGCTTTCTTAGGAAGCAGCTGCGGGCATCGGAGGCTTCTTAGCTGCTTGGACATCCCTGTTATAACTCTGCTCGCCGCTGTTCTGCTGTGAGGGAGGCCATGCTGCGGGGACCACTGCCTGGCATCTGTCCTCCAACCTGGGACTCAGGCCCCCCCTCCCCCTCAAGGCCTCGCCCACGGCAGCCAATCACAGAGCACACTGGGCGGGAGCTGGTTTGGGAACCTTAAAGCCTTCTCTCCTGTTTCAGCTGAGGTGCTTTTCCATCAAAAAATAAACTGACACTGTACAAAGAATTCCCCCCCACACACACTCATACACACTCTCTCATACACACACACACACACACACACTCTCATACACACATACTCACACACACTCTCTCATACACACACACACACACACACACACACACACACTCTCATACACACATACTCACACACACTCTCTCATACACACACACACACACACACACTCTCATACACACATACTCACACACACTCTCTCATACACACACACACACACACACTCACACACATTTAAAGGGACAGAAGGAACCACATGAACAGAGATCTAAATACTGCTGTGAACTCGGGTGACCTTGCGCCTGTTTTATAGCTTCACCCTTTCCCCCTGAAGCCTGCTGTGTGCTCTGTGCG